AAAGACTGTAGACCCTCCACAAGTTCACAGTATGGTATTTATTTTAAATATTTGACTATTCTGGGCATATGACACCTTACAAAATTTCAGATACATAGAAAAATAATTTAGGGTAAAGGTTCGAATGAAGATACGAAGTATCGAATCAAAGATTTTAAGATGTTTTTGCTAGTAGGGGATGGACTTGTGGAATTGCTGTTAAAGACAATTTGATATATAACTAGTAACATTCGGAAAGCCATCTACTTAATAGCTGAATCAAATAATCCCAGTCAGTTGTTCGAGGAGTACTTCGAGTGCTCGAAAATATGCTTTCGATGGGCCTTCGCCGAGGGCTCGAGCCCTCAGAAAATGGCACTTCGAAATCGATACCCTAAGAAAGCTTATATCGAGGGTCCGAAGTGCCATTTTTCGAGGGATCGAGCCCTCGACGAGGGCCTATTTTTTCGAGTACCCGCCGCACCCCTCGAACGACTTATTTCATCTGCATGGGAGGTAACAGACCACGTTCGGTCACTCTTGTAGCTGCTCCTTTCTAAAAGGAGTTGCTAGCATATAGATCCGACTGAAGCCCGAGTCTATTTAGGATTAATCGAATTTTTGTATAAATGTTCTTTTGGAAATCTTCTCGGAAAATGATCGTTGGAAAAATTTTGCATTCGAACAGATAAAAATCTTTCCACTGAACATACTTGATATTCAGTAGGAAAATAAAGCATTTTTAAACATAACCGAAAAGGATTTGTTTTGAAGGTTTCTAAAAGAAGAAATATATAAGATATATATTATAAGATATTGTTGATAAATTTAACATCGTTAAGAGAGAGATTTGATGAATGATCAAAAATCTACCGCAAATTCGGATACTCGGAATAAGGCGAAAAACGCTAAAATAATAGCTGTCTGAACCGAGAGATCCCAATAGGAAGAAAGAAGACCATTTTGACGTTTTGAGGTAGATCAAACATTCTAACTATAAAAGGAGAATGTGAACGGCAATCTTTTTTTTGTTGTCGTAGACTGTGTTCGTTTAATAGCTCTTAAGATAGTTTGAATTTTATTTGATGTTTCCGAAAATACAGCTGGGATTGATGGTTGAATTAATTCTCGTTTAGAATGCTACTAAGATATATTTTAATAGTCCCATATTTAATTTTCCGTGACGTATAATAGAGATTTATTAACAATTTGTGCAGTGATGGTATGATTATCTGATGGACAGACTGACGAGGGGACATATCCAACTGTCAAATCGCTTTTCTAACGAAATGCGGTAGCTTATAGGTAATCGATCATGCTGATTCCGAGTATGATAGCCGTTTTTCCCTATTCCGAATATGATAGCCGTTTTCCAGAAACCTCGAAATAAGTCACAACTGTAGCCCGCGAAATTCTGGTTAAAATGAGACATCTCCCAGCTCTACACGATCTTTCTTTGCAAAGTTATGGAATTTACACGAAAAGCCCTAAATGTTTATTGCCACCTCAGAGCTACAGAAAGAAGAAGGAAAGATGAATTTAGGGCTTTTCGTCTACATTCCATAACTCTGCAAAGAAAGATCGTGTAGAGCTGGGAGATGTCTCATTTTAATCAGACTTTCGCGGGCTACAGTTGTGACTTATTTAGAAAAATTCTTGAGGATTTTTCGAGGTTTCTGGAAAACTGGTTTTCCAGAAACCTGTTAGGAAAGGCCTATAGGGAAAAACGGCTGTCATATTCGGAATCAACATGATCGATTACCTATAAGCTACCGCATTTCGTTAGAAAAGTGATTTGACAGTTGGATATGTTCCCTCGTTGTCAAATTGTGTAGCAAAACGTTGAAAATGAGTAGAATCCAATTTGTAACTAGCCAGCGTTGTGATGCATTGTCATATAAATCGCGTATGATATCCGTTACGGCTAACGAATCTAATGACTTGTTCAGGCTAGTTATACTTGTGGATGTAGGTGTTGAATGGAAATTATAGAGTATTAATATCTACAAGAATAGAACCGAGCGCAATGTCGCCAAGAGTGTCTTACACATTCGATAAAGTGGAAAGTGTGGCTCATGTGCCAACAAAGTATAAATGAATAAACATAAATTGAATTCAGATACTGACTGACATAATTATAGAAGATGGGTATAAATTATTAGGAGTGATACTGCTCCTAGCTAGAATATGAAATCAAATGAAAAAAAAAGAATTCTAAACACAAACAACGGTCAAGTGTATTTAAGAATATTATAAGAATACAAGAAAGTATCATGTACACTGAAATAGTTTACTAAGATGAGATAAGTGGTGTCGGCGGCATCAGTTGTGACGTATTAACTGTTCCTGCTGCTAATGTATTATGTGAGCACTGACATTTTGGATGGTTCTGTTTATACATAGCACAAAACATAAAGACAGCAGCAGGATGTAGTGTTGTACTCGTTGTATTGATTATTGTATGTATCGTTATTGATACGTTATCAATAGAATCTAGTTGTGAACTACCAGAAAAGATCGTTTTTGGATGAAGTTGCGGTTGTATGTGATCGTATTGCTATCGAAACTACCGTCGTTGATGACGAATTTAAGTGACTAGCGATAGCTGGATTGTTTTTGTTGGACTGATACAACATTTTCAGGAATTGATATTAAACATCAGTTGGTGCTGTGATTCCCAATGGTTTTAGAGCAACAAGAACGATTTTTTTTTTCCATCATCATCAACAGTGATATTGGTCTGATGTGAAGATACATCTGATGAAGGATTAGCAACCAGCATCATTCCTACGCTTCCTGGATCGAGTGAGTATCTGTTTATCGTTATATAACTTTTTTTTACTAATAGCATGGAATTAAATTAAAATAGACTGACCAATCCAAAAGAAGATAATTAACAATGATAGAAAGTTAAGTAATAGAAATAATACGAAAATGACTTTCCTGATCAAGAATTAAAAGAAAAACAAATGAATATAGAAAAGAATTTTCTGGAGAACAATATTTAAACGTACAGAGAGAAAGAAATATGATCGCGCTGATCTTGAACTATAAAATGCGTTCTACGATTTTCAAAATTGTTGCCGTCTACTATTCTAAGATATATTTGACGAGACCTTGCAGACAAAAACAAAATTGCTCAACAGCATTGCTGTACCCTTCGGAAAATGACATTTCGAGGGTGCGATGACTACATTCTCACTCTTCGATTTACCCGTTGAAAGCCTGATTAGAAAGATGCATTAACAAGAAATAAATATGATAATATCAAGTTTTAGAGTGGATTTGGCATAAAAAAAACGAGATGTATATATTATCCGAAAGTTTGAGAGCTATTTTATGTTAACGGACAACCGAGAGAAATGAACTTACCTATTAAAAATGGTTTAGCACGGGATTAATGCTGAACAAATTTATTAGGCATATTCGTATACATTTCTATTTTTACTTTACTTTGTAAATGACGAGTCATTTATTTAGAGTATTCTAATGTTGTTCCTATATTTCGCGCTGAGAAATTTAGTATTGAATAGTCTAATCAGTACGATTTTAATCAAGTCATTTGAAGTATTGGCATCATGACGAAGACGAAAAAGACCGGTTGATTTTCCACTTTGAAGCGTTTGCTGAGTTGAATAAGATGGCATTAAAAATATTTATAAGTGTTTATAGGACCTTTTTCTTACTGTTCAGGCATGTACATGATTGTCTTTTGTTCTGTTCTTGCCAAAATAAACATTTAGAAGTTTTTCTAAATCAGAATATTCGAAAATATTTGAGAAGAAACGAAGCATTTGACAGAAGAATGTGACGTAGATGCTCAACAAGTGCACAGATAATAATTCAACTATGAATGAACAGTTTAAAAATGCAAGTTATCGACTTTTGAAACGAACTGATGTGTTGTTCGAGATAGCTGTATTCAACCTGATATTTAATTCATAACAAAAGAGGATAACAGAAAAATTCGATTCGAGTGTTGCACAAATAAAACGCCAAAAAGCGATTAGCACGATGTCTAAAGGCACACACAGGTATAAGATAAGATAAATATTGTTCATTATTAAAAAGTAAAAGGCAAAAATATAATATATCTGTAGAATGCAACCGAAATTGTATCTCAGAAAATAAACAAATTTAAATGCAAATTCATTTAATATCAATTATAATCGTTTAGCCACAACTGATACTAAAATTCGTAAAACTATTGGTCAACAAATGTATGTCAAATACTGAACTTTTGTTTATTTTGATACTGTAAATATTTATAGTTACCATGATACAGATGTTGCTCGCCATTTTTGATTAGCATAGAAAGTTGTCTAATCATTGACATAATTATTGGTTGCCACTACTGAAACAAAAAATGAGTGTCAACATTTTTTTGATTTGCTAATTCATATTGTTGATATTTTAGTAATTTTGCACATCTTGTAGTTTTTAACCAATAATGCCCACACAGTATCTGTCACCCGTATATGATCAAATTTTGATCTTTGATTGTCAGTTCAACAACAAAACAAAACGGTAAATAATAAAAATGTTGACATTCATTTTTGTTTCAATAGTAGCAACGCATAATTATGTGAATGATTATGAACTTTCTTTGTTAACTAAAGATAGTGAGCAACACCTGTACTGTGATGACGATGTTTACAGTAGCTTGACATACATCTGTTCACAAAAAGTCAAAAGACATAGAAGAGGTAATTTGTTTTTGAATCACACGGTATATAAGGTATAAAAAAACTATTCAAAAAACTTTAAAAATTAAAATAAGATTAACACATAGATATAAGAATTATTTACATTATCCGTAAGTAGCACACAATATTAAGCAAGATATAAATAGTCAAAAAAAATTATTGAATCTCTAACATGCGACTAGAGAAAGTGATCTCGGGCTTTGTTCGTTATGTTTTGTCAAAGAAAAAAACTTAAAAAGTTATTTGCTATGATGAAAGACAAGTGTGTAAGAGACAAAACCAATACGAGCAAGAATTTAGTATTTTTTTAAATTATCAACTAAAAGCAACATCCAATATCATCATAACAATAAATCCAACTGAAAAAGTGAAAAGAACATTGAAGTGATATTGTTTATATTTAAAATGATAGCACTTACTTATTACCCACCATGACGAGAGTATACGATTTTGTCTAAAAAACAAGTAATAAGATTATTACATCAGACGTTCTAAAGCATTTTTTCATACGACAGAATCGCAACTGGTGTCAATTGGTATACAGCTTATAGGGCCTTTCTAATTTTATACTACCGAATGTTGGATGGTCGACTATTACAATTTGTCCCATAGAATTGGTGATAATGATGCTTTAGAATCTGTGAAGGCGCAGTTGTATAAAGTGTCCTTTTTTTAAATGATTATATTCTTCTATTGAAACCATTCTTTCATACTTACGGTGTTATCTCTGGTATTATAGTATTAAATACTACAAATATCATTGCTCCAGCTGCAAATGACAGTGCATAAGGAAGTAATGAATCAGCCGCTTGAACAAACAACACACCAATTAAACCAGCAATCGGTTCTACTAATCCCGATAGTTGACCATACCTAGAACAGAAAAAACGATTAGTCATACCTAATCCTAAAGTTTTTAGGCTAATGTGCACTGGAAACATAGATTCTTGAGGTACGCGATTAAACTTACGAGGGAAGGCCATCAACTGCCTCCTCGCTTTTGAGCTTAAACTCAGTTGACAATAGGTAATCGAACGTGCTGA